GGTACCGCCAGGAGTGTGCAGCCTAGACGGCGAGCTCATGCTGCTCGATGGAATCCTGCACGACCGTAAGGTCAGGACTTGGGTGGAGACGACCTTGGTGCCTCCGAGGAAACGTCGCCATCACGTTCACGTGTAGCTACACGACTTCGCAGGTCTTTTGATATGTAGTGGACATGACTGTTGACCGCAATAAAGGGGTGAATACTGGTGGCCTCGCGTTAGGACAAGAGTGCAGTGATGTGCGGGTTGAACTGGAAAACGCCGCGCTGTGCGAATCTCGAGTGTTAACCTCAAATATATCTCGCTGTCTCTGTTATCAATGGAGGTACCGGGGTCTTTTGCTCCACTTTCTTCCATGGAAGGGGAAAGGGGATGAGGGTTAAGGATAGTTGCGTTTTCTCGATTAGTTTTTGGGGTGTGATTTGCGTCGCCGCGTAAGCAGAGGGTTGAAAGGTTTGTGGACAATAAAACATTTGAATATTGAAGCGCGTTGCCCGTGAGCACAAAATTGGAAGTTAAAATCATGCCGAATTCAAATCGATGCACGCGTGCATAGTACGTCGACGGGTTGCGCGAGAGCAACATACCTATCCCAGAAGAATTAGAACTTGCATCGACGTTAGCACCGTTGACGAGGGAAAGGGACGGCTGGGCCCTTGTCGCGAAAAAAAATAAAATTCAGTACGCACTGCAAGAGGGAGGTGGGGCACGAAAAGAAAAAGAAAGAGAGAGACAAAACCCCGGTGTTTACTCCCTCCTGTGTGACCCTGGAGGGGTGTAGTACACGTCCCACAACGAAAAATGGAGGGACTGTCGCCATAACAAATTGGACCAAAACAACAAAAAAAACTAAGCCCGAGACAGGCCGTAAAGCACCAAGTTTCAACATGTCAAAGTCCGCTTGTTCGTTTGAGAGGGAGGCCCTCCGGTATTCCGAAAAGCAGCCTACCGCCATGGGCTAAAACCCCCAATGTGAGCACGGCTGAGCTTTTGATAGACATACCAAATCGTGGAATGCAATTGCTTTCAACGATGAGCGGCGTGCGCGGGACACCGCCGCCGCCGCGATACGTTTTAACCCACAATGTTGTAAGCACCGACTTTGGTCAGCGTATCGGGCCATCACTGTACGATACATCCTTTCCGCGTCCACCGTTGACGCGCCCAAGTTGCGTGGACGGGGCAACCTTGCCTGAAGCGACCCCGCGCTCTCCCGGAATAGAGTTTTCACCGCGCAAGAAAATCATGCCTCACTGTGAACATGCTGGGAAAATCCCCTATGCGAGAGCAGCACGATCACATCCCTCCTCGACAAACAGCGACAACATGGTTATTTGTGTACAGCACTAAAGCTCTAGACTGCTATCGTTGGGCGACCTTCCTTCCCTATTGGGTCGTTGGGTTTGTCGCCTGGCCTGCCGGCGTTGTAGTCGCATCCCCCCCGGACGCCCGGGCTTTCCGCTGCGAACTAAGCTTGCGGACGGCGTAGCGAGTCGGCCGTTTGCTGAGTTTGAACTCGCCGTGAAATGCCTCCTGTATATTCCGTGTTTGATCACAATCAACCACCAATCACCCGTAGTCCGTTGTTATTCGGCAACCGGCAGGTGGAGCGAAGGGCAGCATGGGAGTAACAGGGGCGCAGTCAGATAATATATTCTCCATTGTCGTTGCGGGAGGGGTCGCACCAAGTCGATTGCCTCGTCCTGAGAAACCAAAGCGCGAAAACGTTTACGACGTGGTTCCAAAGCCCACGGATGTTCAAGCATCGTTTTACTCCTTCTAACCTGGTCTACTTGCTCCCGATACGGTTGTGGCAGCCACTGGCCACAAAGTGTTTTTTGTTTTACCTCGAAGGCCCCGCCGAAGGAGGAGGAGGAGGAGGAGGAGGAGGAGAAGGAGGAGGAGGTGCTGTCAAGAGGCCAAGCTTCTCAATACCAAGACTCTATGGCGTCCGGATGTGAAGCAAGAAGTGAAAGTGCTTTTTCACGGATTCTTCCGGCTTCTGCAACCCTGCTTCAAGTACCCACCTACTTGCAAGTGTATAATGCGCGTGAGGAAGCCGCTTCAAAATATTGTAGACTTTGACAACATCAACAGAGCCAATGACGGTGTGTGCTTTCCCTGCGTACCTCAAGCCTTGGAAAATACGTTTCAAATCGGTTTGTCGTCATATGGGGTGCAACCTCTCATCATCTTACCAAGCCAAACTTGCCTGCATGAGGTTGAAGAACGTCCCTTCCAGCGCGGCCGCCACTATCCGTTGAGTGTCGTGGTCCTGGGCCGCTGTGTCAGCAAGGCCCAGCAGTCGTTGTCTCGCCTTCTCTTCCGTCGCTTGCACCGCCTGTAGCCGCCGAGCCTGGTCGGAATATTGAAGTTTCCCTTAGTTGAGATCCTCACGTGGGATGACAGAGGTATTTTCAATACTGCACACCCTGTGTCCTCATCGTCATGTCATGGTAGCCGTGGCAGCCACAGGCGGTGGTGGTTTGGTGCATTTACAGTTACAGTAGAGGCACTTTTCGTTGGTGTTTCCAGGGAAAAATATGCAGTGTGCGGCAACATCACTCAGTAGGTACCTGTGCCTGGATTGTTGTCGCCATCTTGCTCGCGTGAGTGTCACTATTGTCCATCGCGTTGCCGGCTGTCGTTGTGGACAGAGGGGAATGCTCTCCCTCTTTCGCTTTTCCCTCCTCCATTTTCTGATGGGAGTTCGTATTCTTGGTTTCCGCAGCGACGTGAGAGATTTCGGGTAGAGGTTTTCGAACCTCGACCTCAAGGCTCTCTCTCTGATCTAGCCAGGTCTCGATACGGCCGACTGCGGCACTATCAACCGCAGCCAGGACGCCCTGGAGAGTCACCACAAGGCCCGAGGAAGCCTGGCGAAGCGGGAGGGAAAGATAAAACAATCGATTTTCGGCGGCAGGTAGGTTAATCGAGAGTCGTAACACACTGTATCCATGTATCATTAGAGTGATCTTGATGTCGTGCCAAGAGTAACCAAATAGTTTTTTTCAGGCTGGCTTGAGTACCGGGGATAACTCCACTTTGAATGCCTGCAAGTTATACCTCTTTTACGGAGCTGCTTCCGCGTACTGTCGGTAAGACGCGTACAAGGCAGAGTCTGATTGCTGATCACGAGACCCCCCGACCACCCCTCTTCCCCTGCCGCCATTCTTAAAAGTGTCCCTCCGCTTCCCAACAGGTCGTTGGTGCGAGCGAGCTATCATTCCCCACAAAAATCCCGTTGGAACGACCTTACGTGCGGGATGGCACTCTTTCAACACAACCTTCCACCTGTTCCCCACTTTTGAACGATTCCCGCCTGATTGCATTTCTCTGAGAGCTACGTGCAGTCAGTGTTAACCGAGCTCACCTCGACAATAACTGCCAGTGGTCACGCCACCAGCAACTACACTGTGGACAGCTAGCACGATAAGCCATCTCATCTCACCTCAATGGCGGCGAGCAACCCCGCAAGCGGTTCCTTCCTTCTGCCGTGGCCCACAACTCTTGCCCCCTTCTTCCGCGCCGGCGGCGCCTTCACCCCGACCCCGACGGCCCGCAGTGCCGCGAGCAGTTCTTCCTTGGTGAGGGGCGTGTTGGAGTTCACCCTCACACCCGCGCCAGCGGGGGTGTCGTCGTGGCCACTGCCGTCTTCAGTCCTACGAGGAGCAGTGAAAGCGGCGTCACGGTCTACCCTCGCTGCAGGTGCGCTGCTGGCGGCCGCTGCTGCCGGGGTCAGCAGCGGCCGGCGGATAGCTCTTGCCGTCCCAGAAGCGGAGGAGGAAGATTGTAGGTGCGGGGCTAGGGCTGCGGCGACACGGTCGGGCAGGGATGGCGCGCTCCGTATCTGGTCCAGTTTTTACAAAGTGGTGGATGCGCGCGGACCGGGAGAGAGCGAGGGAAGTGGGCGGGTGGACGTGTGTGTTCTAAGACCCGCCCATCTTGGGTACTTGAGAGGTGTGTGGGGGCCACGCAGCTTGTCTGGAAGACGTTTGCGAGATCCCAATAAGAAGTGGCTGGGTTCGGTGTGGCGAGATGCAAGGCTCCTTCAAAGAATTATGTGGTGCTAACATCCATCCTGCCAGTCGCGATTCAGCCTGGACCTTGCGTAGCATCAACACACAGGTTTTCATTGCAAACAAAACAACAATTGACAAACCTCTCTGCCACTGATTTTTGCTACCCTTCCACCACCGGGAAGAGAATGAATCAGAAGCACGACAACACCCCGCGACCAAAGGCGGCATTGCCCCTCACCTCCGTGAACGTCGGCACCCTCGGGCGTGCCGGCAGGCTTTTCAGGCATTCCCGGGTCCCGTTCGAAGCCACGACATCCCTCACCAGGCGCTCCAATATCCGAGAAGCTACGCTGCCGACCAAGGGGTCCTCGGAAGCTCGCTTCAGCAATGCCGTCTGGTGTTGTGAGGTGTTTAGGCAATAGAACCGACGGGTCTAAGTGGGTGTTGACGTTGTGGCACAGGTCGACATTTTCACGTGTAATTATGCTCCCCTATATACCGTGGTTGAACTGCACCGGTTGTTTTGAGGCCAGGTAACGAGCACCAGAGCACACAGCCCCACTGACTGCGCGGTGGGTCGAATGAAGAGGATGGTGAGCTCCATCCCAGGAACCGTTTCTACATTATAGTGAATGGCGGGGGGGCGAACAAGTCGAAGTCAACTCGCTCGGGAAAAATCATGGACGAACAGAGGGACAAGGAAAAGGAGAAGGTCGCTGGCTGGCACCTCCCGTTAGTCGTCCTTTGGTATGTCTACGGTCCGATTCGAAGAGTTTCCGTTCGAGGCCCGATGCACCTTGCCGCCACGCCACTTCTTACTGGTACACATGTAGCTGATGTGTGCAACTTGCTCCCCAGAGCAGCCCATATCATTGACCACAAGCCGGACTCAGATCGAGTCGCCACGTGCCGAGAATAACGGGTGCAATGAATCAAGGCATAGCCTACATCAGATCATCCCTACACGTTGTACTCGTGTCAGGGAATTCGCACGAGTACGTAGCGCCCATCCTTGCTACGAAAACCTACCTTGCCGTTCCCGCCCTTTTCCGTTCTTGCCAAAGACCCTCCGATCTTGACTTTCCCGCTTTCCTTGTGACCTGCCCCAAACGCCGCCCAATCCGGCACATATCTAGATGGCCCGGGTACGACGAAAGCGTCTACCCTCCCACCATTGATGTTTGTACCGCTGCTGATGTCGCTGCTACGGTCCCCGACACTGCCCCCCCCTTGCCCTGAAGATGTTGATGTTTCCACTGATCTTGCTGCAGCGCGAGGTTCCGATCTCCCAGAGTCGTCCTGGTTGATTTCTCCTCGTCCGCCGTAGAGCGCGTGGAACGTTTCCATGCATACTACCTGCCGGTCCGTCGCATTGGGAGGTGGGGAGGTGAGGGGGAGGCGTGCTTGCGAGAGCGGTTCGACGGGAGGTAACACCAGCGCGGAACGGAAAGACTAGTTCAACCTCCTTTGCACATAATGGCTCGTTTTCAATCCCATACGACGAGGTGTCCCATTTCATTGGCATGTTCAGTGACGGGCTCTGGCCTTTCCGACCAAGACGTCCCAAGCTGAGGATGGGAGCCATGGAGCTTAGCACCTGATGAAAAAAGTATCTTTCTTGTTGCGATAGTGTGTTCTAGGGGATTACCACAGCGCACTTCGCTTGGAAACAGAGCAGCTGCCCATCAGTTTCCTCGAGCTACATCCACGCGTCCGCACCAACACACCTCTCCCTCCACGTCCAGTCGAAGGAGAACGGCGCCTCCTCCGCTGGTTCCCGGCCTGTCCCCCCCCCGACTACTGAAGCGGTCCGTTCCCCCTCCGGTCCTATTTGCGAGGCAAAGCGCGGGTCCTGGCGCGCGGTTAGCCTGACCGGCAGCAGTAATGCCTCTTCCTCCTGGGCCTGGTTGCAATCCTGTAGTTGATGCAGCTCCACCGGAGGTGTTGCTAATGCCTTTCCACACGTGCGAGCGGGATGTAGGGGGACGAAGTCAGCTTTCGTGGGGTTCGACGTGGTTGGCAAGGAATTACTTCTGATAGCAATTCTCCCCAGTTTCGTCCCTTCCCTGGATCGCTCTAGTACACGGGCTAGACCAGACACAGTCACCTTCCTCCCATACGGTGAGACCAAGCGGGCACGATGTCAGACAGATCACGAGCACTGAGTGTGGCCAATCGATTCGAGAGTTTCATGTTGTGGGAATTTGCGTGAGCGGAGTAGGTAGCTCAACATTTGGAAGCGTAGTCGGGCAACCTGAGATACATCCAAGGCAGGATCCATTTTCAGACACTTGAGCAATGGCACTCCAGATGGAAGATGGGTCTGACACACTCAGTCAGGCCAAACAATCTCTGCAAAGGACGGACATGGAGAGCAAGCAGTGGAGTGCTCAGAGTTCGAACCGACACCTCCTTGAATGAATGTGTGTTGTACGACACCGGCTCGATAATTGCTCGCGTGAAGTCCCACAGCCACCCATCAACATCCTTGCATGATACACGCATCTCTCTCACTCTCACACACACTCTCTCTCTCTCGTTCTTTCGGATTTCATACATCCTCAGTCGCAATCCTCCGTGAGATCCCCTAGAAAGTCACCATCCCATTCTCGTACTAGTCAACCCCACACTGCGTCACCCTATCACCCCCTACATGCACGCAAGTACCTTCGCCGGCCCCCCTGGGTTGATTTCTCGCACCGTCGCCACCGTCCCCCCGACCGTCCACCTTCTCTTCTTCTTCCCCCTCTTCCCCGCCATAGCAACCATCGCGTGGCAGCTCTCCTCCCATGCCCGAACCGTTGCCGGTACCCTGTTCGAGCGCCTCAGCCAGCACCCTGGGGACCGGGGCGTTCACGGTGGACGTCGGGTACGCCGGGCACAGGACTCGGCCGTGGTCGTCGCTGCAGCTGTGCCTCGTCGACAGGGTCTTGGCGATTTCGGCCACGTGCTGAGAGCGTGCAGCGGTCGGGCGCGACACCACCGGTACGCGAGGCTCGGGCGCCCGGGCACGGGCCTGCCTTTCCTCGTCCATGCGGCTCTCCAGGCGAGACTTGGGTCTTCTGGAACGAACCGCCTGGGGTACAGGAGGATAGGTGCGTGTCAGAGACGGGGAAGGGGGGAATTTCAGGGGCCTAGTGGCTTATCGCGGCCCCACTCTTGTAGACTCCGACATTTCAACACGAAATCCGATATGTTGGATGAATTCCTTCACCAAACCCCCTCGCTTCTTTCCAGTATCCATCGCAGACTGCTATTGCCCGTCGTAGAGCAGGTCAAAAATGGTGCGGATAAAATAGTACCAAGGTAATTCGATACTTCTGCACCTCGCCATATCCCCATCCAACCACGTCTCCCGCACACAAATGTTGCCATTTCACCTCTCTCTCACCTTAGTTGGTGGCTCCTGGCACACGACACACGCCACGGGTTGCTGCCCCAGAAATCTCGGCCCACACCCCGCGAAAATGGTAACCTGAAACAGCACTGACTGTGCCGCGTCTATTCTCCCTTTGAAGGGTTGGATCGACACCACCCCAGCGGTTAGCAGGGGGTTCTCGACGCCCGTGTCTTCAGGGTCCCAAGAAAATTCTACCGCCTGCAAAAAGCGGAGGTGGCGGTAGGCACATGCAAGGCAGGCACTCATCGGCGTGGCGTCTTACCTCACGCCGTGTTGTGGGTATTGGGAGAGAGAGAGAGAAAGTTCCCCCAACAAGACCGGACAGACCAGCTAGAAAAGCGACAGAGGAAAGGCTGAGACCCGAGTAAAATATCACCAATAGACTGGCAGGATTACGAACAGGGAGACGAGTCTGGACAGGACGTCAGACTTGAGCACAAATAGCACTCACCGACTTCAACAGGCAGTTCCTCATGGAGATGATTCTGGACAAAACCGCCCCCTGCGGAATCCGTCCCAAGCGAAGCCTTTCCGCCCCCAAGATGCAGGGCTGCCCTGACGGAACCTCTAACTGGCGTGCGGGGTGCACGAAGCCGAGGTCTACCGCTGGCAGGATCTCGCTGACGGCAGGGGGTTATCAGGGGGAGGGCATTGATGGCACAGAGGTTAGACTAGAGAGGCTAAAGTCATTCGGTTGTGCAAATCGTTTGATCGGAGCTTGACTGTGACACGTAGTCTTGATGAGCCCTTGAGCACTGCCCTTATAACGTACCACGGTAGTTGTTGTTTTGGTGGTTTCCTCATTGTCTCTTCGTAGCAACACGGACCCTGGCAGAGTTTTTTTTTTCTCCCTTACGAAAATTGCGCGCTTTTCGGACGTCCGTTCAAACATCACTTGCAGCCACCCTCGTTCTTGGCGATACACATCAACCGAATGCACACTAAAGTCTTTCGATTTGATGTACTTCTTCGAAAGTCCGATCGTGTTTACGAGGATATTGTTTTGGGTCCTAGTGCCTTGTTTGTGTCGAGCAAATGGGCTTCACAACCGGTAAATAATGAGATGAAATATTGCTAACTGTTGTCAGAGCGATAACGATTATTGACAACACGCTCCACGCTCATCCCCAGCTGGGCTATTCTCATCTATGATGCAGGGGCCCTTTGGAAGGAATGGACGCTTTGCGGAACAGGAATAGCAATCGACATATTCAACTATCATGCTGAATATTGCCCGCGGGCAGGCCTGTCTACGAAATTCGACGTACAAGGGGGTTTCGAAACAGTCGTCGTCCAGGCCCTGGGACATGTCCGCGTGTTGGAATCATGACTATAATAGAGACGCTGTGATACTGCATTGAGTTCGCACGTCGTCGCTCTTGTTGATGTTGGCTGTTGTCGTTGCTGCTCCCGGCCCCTCGAAACAAAGTAACCCCGCCCCACTATTGGCCTATGCTAGCCAATAAACTCAGGATGAAACCGGCCTCTATTAGAGTATCACTCGTATGTGTCTCACGCTATGGATCCATCCAGATCACTCGAAAGTATTTTGACACGAACAACAGCGGTGTGGCGAAGGAGTCATTTTTCTCCCCCCCTCAGCTCCCCCCCGGTGTTTGCCATCGGGGTTGGGTTTTCGTCGCTTGGCA